GGCCGCTTGCCCCGCCGCATGAAATTAATGGAGATGCTTTCGGAGACGGCAAGGAATTCCTTTATCCGGCGGCTAATGTCTAAGCGTGTCCTTGCCGGCGCCGTGTGTGAAGGAGAGCTCCGTTCACCCGCAGATGAACGTCATTGGCGCAGGAAAGGCCGAGCAGAGGAAGCGCTCAATACTCGCCTGGACGAGCCCTTGGCTATCGCTGGGAAAAGTCCGCGTGGGCGGTCAGAACAAGGCGTCGTTGGGCTGCCCGACCTCGTCCGCCAGGTTCAGGATGTATTTGGCCACGTCTTCTTTAGTCGGGGCTTCAGACACCACCCAGGAGTCGTTCACTTCGGTCACCTGCAGGCGGCAGATTGGGCAGTTGCGGTTCCGATCGCTCCTGTTGAAGAAGAGGTTCTGATTAGGGAAATAAGTCTTTATTAGGCCTATGGGCTTTGATTGATATATTAACCTCTTGCCGTCCGCCCGCTGAGAAAAAAACGGATAGACGGCGGACTCGCACGTTACCGGATGTGTGATATACATGCGATCGGCGGCTCTATAACCTGCCGATTGTATGTGCTGTCTTTGCTCGCCCCCCCCCCCCCCCTCGAGTGCCGCCGCTGCCGTCCCCACCTCCTGACCCCCTCACCTTCAATCCCGGGCTCCACTAGCCTAGGATCGTCTCGGGAGGTCGTCAGGAGGTAAAATGGGAGGGAGATCAGCATCTTCCTCCTTGCTGATCTCCCTCCGTACTGTGAATGCGGAAGTGATGTGTAAATCATCACTTCCGCATTCACCTGTCAGTCATCTGGCTGCTATAGCCAGAGAGAAGAAGCTGATGAAGCAGATCTCTGCTTCATCAGCTTCTTTTGGGGTCCCCAGGTGACATTAGGGGTCTTAGAGACCCCTAATGTCTCCATAAAGAGGACCTGTCAGTGTGCCTTTGCTATTATATAGGGGGGATTGTTATCCCCCTATGTGATAGCAATAACAATAAGTTTAAAAAAAAATCAAAAAGTTAAAAAAAAAACTCCCCCCAAATTTTTAAGTTCCCCCCATTTACACACATATAAACGTAAATACGTAAATACGTGCTCGAAGAACCAGCGTGCGAAAACGACAATTGCGCTACACACATGTTACATATCGTCGCAGTGAGAGCAATCATTTTAGGGCCATCAATCACTGATAACACTAACCTGATGAGCGGTAAAAGCTTGTAAAGCGTCGCCTATGACCAATTTTGGGTATTGTAGTTTTTTGAGGTTTCGCGCGCGCAATTTTAAGGCTTGACGTGTTTGGTGTCTATTTACCCGACGTGACCCCGCCTCTTATATTTTAGCAAAAAATTGGGTAATAATAAATGTTTTATTAATGTAATATAGGGGAAACAGTTTCTTGTGGGTTTTTTTCGGTAATGTTTCCTTAATATATTAAAAAATAACCCCCCCAGCGGTGATTAAATACCACCAAAAGAAAGCTCTATCTGTCCCTAAAAAATGGTATAAAATTAATTTCAGTACAGTGTTGCATGACGGAATCAATGTCAGTCAAAGTACCGCAGCACTGAATACTGAAAAATGGCCGGGACAGGAAGGGGGTGTAACACCCCCGGACTTCAAGTGGTTAAAAGTGACTGACGCTTTGTGGTTTGTAGTCACCCCGGGCAGAGCACCTGCTGTGAGAACGGGCCAAAAACTGCCTTGGTGATACACATCCACCCATCTATGTATTTACATAACTCCTCCCAAGAGCTCACCCGCTGCTTGGTTCAGGGCTGAGGACTCTGGAGAGCAGCATTGAGGCAGGGTGCTGTGATGTTTTCTGGAAGCCATGTACATCACCCCGCTGGCCGCCATATGCAGCGATCAGATATCCCAGATAGTCATGTTCGCAGCAGAGCGCAGAGGGTTAATGGATTACAGGCACACTAAGGCTGAAGTCAGAAAACAATCATTCATCTCTGCTCAGAGCCAAAGAGGACTTTTAAGGGCCCCCGATTTCTACGATGCGTGTAATATAAGGAGAATTCCGCCCATTCCAGCGGGTCACATGACAGGGCGCCTCACCATTTGTCAATACATTTCTGGCAGAAGGTGTGAGTGCAGGGCAGGATGAGATCAGCGCGGCCGTCCATGCAGATGCAGCACTCTTCCTCGTCCGTAAGTTGCTTCACCCTGCCGCACAGGAAGAGCAAAGTCAGGTCATTAGATCGGATCAGACTCTACCAGCGGATGTCATATAATGAGGCATTGCACAACACACAATGGGCAGTACATAAGGAACAAGCATGGTGCAAAAATACTGCAGTGAACCAGATTTATAGCTGCCTCAATATA